TACAACCCCGGACACATTTATCAGCACCCTTGTGACAGATGTGTAGGAAGTCCTGCAATAATGGCCTCTTTATCACGGTTGCATCAAACCTTTTAGTTGTTTTATTATTATTATTATTATTATTCAAGGTTGCACAAGACACAGAAGCAAAATCTGCCAAATTTCCCAATTCAGCTCAAATTGGTGATCAGCAGGTCCAATACTGAAATATTTTTTTTTTTACTTAAATACATATAAGACTACAATATTTTTAGTTAAAAATAGTGTAAATTAGGAGTTTGGTAAGTTTGGAAATATGTTATTATATATCAATAGGTTATCCATCCCTCCATCCATTATCTGACTCGCTTGTCCCAATTGGGGTCGCGTGGGGTGCTGGTGTCTATCTCCAGCTATCAATTGGCGAGAGGCGAGGTCCACCTTGGACAAGTCTCCAGTCCATTGCAGGGCAACACAGAGACAAACAGGACAACCATTCATGCACACACTCACACCTAAGGAGAATTTAGAGAAGCCAATCAACCTAACAGTCATGTTATTGGACTGTGGGAGGAAGCCGGAGTACCTGGAGAGAACCCATGCGTGCACAGGGAGAACATGCAGACTCCATGAAGAAAGACCCTGGGCCGGGAATCGAACCCAGAACCTTCTTGCAGCAGTTCTACCCATTGCGTCACTGAGCAGCCCTCAATAGGTTATCATTTTTTATTTTTTCTTCCTTTTCAGTTAGATTTAAAAGCAGCACTGCTAACAAAAAGCCTTTCAAATGTCAAAATCGAATCAGCAAACATCTGGTTCAATGGTCAGCCCTCCTAGAAAGCAGAACCTGCATTGGCCTTTTAAAGTCCCTGTTGTCAGTAGGTGAGCACTATCTTCTGTAAAGTTTCACAAGATTTGAGAAAAAAGAGGAATATGCCTCCTAATCGCATCCAAAAGGGTTTTCAGAACAAAAGGTGAGGACATGTTTTTTAGTGTTGATTTGTCTGTATGGTTTAGATCACCATCCAATCGAAAGACCTGACGATGACCCATTTTCAGTGTATTGGTTGAGGAATCCAGCCTTTCGTTTCAAAGCCTCTGGTGTTTGGAAGATATCAATACAGCATGCAGTCTAAAAAGGTTCCTGTGGCTTTTGGAAGAGAAACAGGCCCACAGCACCACTTTTTTTCCCCACCGTATATTTAGCAGTGGGCATGAGGTGGTTTTCATGAATTAATTCTTTATTTCACATAAAAAAACAAAAAGTATTTATTTCTAAAATAAAAAAAATAAAAAAAAGATTCTTAATCTAACCAAAATACACAAGTCCAGTTAAAGCCTCAGAGGAGCTTCATAAAAGGAAAAGAAAACATGATGTAGGGAATATCAAAGGCTGTCAGGAAGACTTCATGAACACAAGATGGTTCAGTTTTTCTTTATTTACCTCCCTTTCCACCTTGCATACTTTAATTCACAGCAGATTAAACTTTGGTAGTCATAATGGTCATTAACTACTTATAAGATGTCCTTACTAATTAGAAATCCTTAAAACTCTGATCAGCATAAAAAAAAGTTGAACATACAGTAAAATAAAAAATAATAAAATTCAGGTATATTCTATTTAATAGGAGTAGCAATAATTGTGCTATTTGCAATTCTTTCTTTACATGGTTAATAATTTTCATGCAACAAATGTATTTGAATAAAATATTTTACTGATTTATTCACTTGTTGTGAGAGTCTCAATGACAGGGGATTTTATTTGCAGCCTGTTTCACATCTTCAATAGGAGTGCTGATAAATGTGGTCATTGCACAAGTTTTTCACTGTCATTCTGTTCAGCGGCTGATTTCTGAACAGGCAAATAGAATATCTACCTAAAACAGACTTTAACAGCTGATAGTGTGCTTTTGGGAAGTCCTGATACAGCCTTATAAATGTGACCAGAACGAAGTCCAATTCACTTACCGATTCAAAGTGACCTCCCGGTCCGGGGGTTAAATACTTCTCACATTTAAAGGAATAGTACACCCATAACATGATTAGCCTTCATTTTCTACTCACCCCCATGCTGAACAACACTCTGGAGTACTTTTTTGATATCTCAAATGCATCTGGAGATCTGGGAGGCTTCTTGCTGTCTGCTGACATTCAAATAATGGAGGTCTATGGTGCCCGAGACAGAAAGGTCCATAAAAGTCCACAAAAAACGTGTCAATATTCCTCCATACTGCTCGTCCAATGTATTCCAAGTGTCCTGAGTGGGTAGCGTCCATAATTTACTCGAAACAAAGTCATTTAGAATGTTTTTAGAGCATAAACAGTAGTGTATAGGATTTCCTGAAAGCGCGTTCACGATGCTACGGAAGCCGGCAGACCAAACCAGATGAAAGTGCGCATTCAGCGTCTGCTCTGCCGATAATGCAAGCGTAGAAGAAGAAATGTGCTGTTTACCTGTGCAAAGAAAGAAACAACGAAAGAAAAATGTCTGAGGACTTCAGTGTTGAGGAAGAGCATGAGTTCTTTGCTGAGCTGAATGCGCACTTTCATCTGGTTTGGTCTGCCGCGGTTTCCGTAGACTCGTGAACGCGCTTTTAGGAAATCCTATCCACTACTGTTTATGCTCTAAAAACATTCTAAATGACTTCGTTTCGAGTAAATTATGGACGCTACCCACTCAGGACACTTCGAACGAGCAGTATGGAGGAATATTGACATGTTTTTTGTGGACTTTTATGGACCTTTCTGCCTCGGGCGCAGGGCACCTCCATTACTTGAATGTCAGCAGACAGCAAGAAGCCTCCCAGATCTCCAGATGCATTTGAGATATCAAAAAAGTACTCCAGAGTGTTGTTCAGCATGGGGGTGAGTAGAAAATGAAGGCTAATCACGTTTTGGGTGTACTATTCCTTTAAGAACTTTAACAGCAAACTGTAGCTCTGCAGTCCCTGATCACACACCTTCATTGCACATGAACATTTTCTGTTCACTTTCATAAATAAAGCTATTTGAAGCACCAAATGTTCAATATGGCCTTAAAACCTCACCTACTGACTGAGTTTTTACGTTACTATTCTGAACTCAGAGTGACTGACTAACCCGCTACTGTGCTGACGTGTTTCCTTATACGATGAACACTGAGACTAGGAGCCATTCAGTGTCCTTCAGAAGGAGGCACCATGCTGTGTTAAGCTTAATTTCGCCCTTTAAGGTGATATTTGCTAAAAGTAAGGGAGACTTGGCTGGTAGTTTTTGCGGCAGCCCTCTGATCGGCAGGCGTTGCTCACTGAGAGCACATTAGCAGCAGAGTAGGACATGAGTCAGCCAGTGTGTTCACATGCACAGGTTATTCTGGATGCCAGCTGTGGATTAAGAAAGCCCTAATGCCACTGCATTTTAACCTTCAAACACTTAGTTCAGAATCGAGGTACACTTGTTTTATTTGCTCTCTTGCCAAGAAATTAAGATAATAGGAACACCAGCGTGGCTTCAGCTCATTTTGTTTGTTCTTCAGAAAAACGAAAATGAACAATGACATTTTTTTTATTAAAGGTTACATTATTAGGTAATAAATTTCAGAACCTCTTGTCATATTAGATATTAATAATTCTCCACTGATTCACAATAAATAACCAGGGAAGAAATGTACCTGTAAAAGGGCCTGGTATGTAGGCGGAGCTGTTACGCTTATCAGGATCTTCTGTTTGAAGTTTTATTGAGGGCAAGTGCTAATCAATTTAAGCTGGGACATTCATTTATATTTTTCTTCATATTTAAAAAAAATCTTAGGGTCATGCATTCTGTTAAAGGTATAGTGGAGGATTTTCATACATTTTTTTTAAAAGACCCGCTCGCTCCACTTTAAAGCAAAAGAAAATGTACATGCACAACCCTGTACCCGCTACCGAGAGGGAACGCCTATTACACGTGTTTGAGAGCGTGCACGAGCCCATTTCTCCTAGTGCACGCTCTGTTTAAAAGTTCCTGTTTGCATCGCTTATACAAGCTTACTTTCCGAAAGAAGGTTTGCATTTTTCCGCTATGTCAGAATCACCACCGGTAAGTAAAAATTAGGACAAGCATGTAGGACGGCTTTACGTAAACATATCACCAGAATAATTGACAATTAGTAGGAGCACTTATTTTGACGATCCATGCGGAAAAAGAAAATCCACCATTATATCTTTAACTGCCATAGATTTATAGTCATGTGTGGTGAAAGATGGAATAAAATCCTTAGTCAAAGTTGAACTTAGAGGTTTAAAGGGTCCATGTTTTAAAGTACAATCCCTGGGGAAGATTTTAAAGCAATGAGGTACTGCTGCTGCCTCTTCAGGATTAATCTTTCAGGCTTTATTAGGTATTTGTATAGATAACAAACTTACTTACGAAAAAAGTTCCTGGTTTCATTATTTAAAATGGCCTTTAGATGTAAACCGTGAGAGAATTTCAGTGCTCAGGGGCAGATTCTGCTGGTGTGGGTAGCAGAGGTTTGCTTATTCCTCTGGTCGGCCCCTTCTATGGCATCAATCATGACAGTAAAACAAATTATCAAAAAAAAAAAATTTAATTAATAAATAAAACCTGAACTTTTTCTTACAAAAACTTTAGCTCCAGAATTTTGCTGTGCAAGTAAACACACCTAGCATGAATTTGGAGGACACCTCTGACACCACAGCTGTCTTCATACACCAACAAAGACCTGGCATATTACGCACCGTACAGTACTGAAACCCATGACATGAGTGAAACATCATGCAAAACCTAAATAGGAAAAAAAAACCCACAGAAAATAAATTGAAACCCTTCAAAAATCCATGAGAAAGAACAGGTGGTATCAAGACGTCTCCTTCGGCTCCATGTGTTTACTGCAGGTTATGTACGGGACGACATGCTGGAATGGGAGAAGAAGCACAGCAAGCCATTCCCTTGCAGTCATTAGGGGGGGAGTTCATGTAATTTTACAGCAGTTTCTTTACAGGACAACATACACACTTGCTAATTTAAATTTTTTTTTTTCACATGGTGAAATCCTTTTTAGATTAGATGCATGCATTACTCTACGTGCTAATGCCAGGGGCTTCCTGCTGATGCCGAGTCCTCCCAGTTGATGACTGGATGTCCTTGCAGGCTGGGATAGAGATCTCTTCCCCTCAGTGCTTTTGTACTCTCATTGTGCCTGGATGCACAAACAGAGAGAGTGTATTTAGTGCTGCTGAGAGACCTAAAGAGACCAACCAAATGAATAAAAAACCTGTCTCAAAAGCAATGTGCTGCACTGTACTGCTAATTTTGGACCGAGTGAGGTAGCAGTTTGCCATTTAATAGAGTCTGGTATATTATTAACTGTTATTGGTGCCATGCGGATATCTAAGAGCAGCCAGAGTGCTTCCAGGCCGCATGACTAAAGCAACAACACAGTCATTAGTGGAAGCAGATGTTTGTTTGTACCAGGAAGTGCTTACACTTTTTTAATATTTAATGCTCTTGACAATGAACTCAAGAACATGCGTTAAGTGTGATTACTGAAATGTAAATAATATACTCAAGAGTCCTCTAAACCTATTACCAAAGCTTACCTGCCCTTTTTTCTGTGTCATAATTTAGCAAAACAATTAATTTAACTGGTCTCTTCATTTTATTTGAGTCATTTACCATTACAAATGGAATCCTGTGTAGATGTTTAATAGCTGAATTAATTCATCAAAGGGAAAATGATCGGTTCATTATTTTATTCCCTTATGTGCATATCTGCACCTTGAAAATGAACTTAACATTTACTTACATTATAACCCAAATCCAATGTGTTTTATTGAGATTTTAGGTCTTTAACTGCAGTCCTCTAGGTCTGGTTTCCTGCACCTTTTAGGTGTCTTTGTTTCTACAAAACTAAACCAAACGGCTGAATTTCCTGCTCAATATGCACTGAAGTTCTCCAGAGCCCTTGGAAATTTAAGTTAGGTGTGTTGAAGCTGAGGAACATCTAAAAAGGTGCAGGACACCATTTCTGGACCTCAAAGACCCGAAATGAAGACCCCTGCAGTAGACCAACACAAAGTGACACATAACTGCAAAGTGAAAGGAATATAATATGTGGTTCTAAAAAAATAAATTCTACAGAAAATGTCACATAAAATGTGGAATGTTTTTCAAGACACATCAGAGGTTTGTTAGCAAGCGTAAGCGACCAAGGAGCATGACGAAGATCAATGAGAAAACTGTGGGAAGATTCTTTTGTTTCCTTTTTCCTTTATTTTCATTTCCTTCCTTCCTTCCTTCCTTCCTTCCTTCCTTCCTTCCTTCCTTCCTTCCTTCCTTCCTTCCTTCCTTCCTTCCTTCCTTCCTTCCTTCCTTCCTTCCTTCCTTCCTTCCTTGTGGGTTTTTTTTTTTCTAAGTAATTTTTTCCGGCCATTTTGTCGTTAGGGGAAAGTGTGTCTTTATTCATTGTATTAACAGATGTTGACATATATATTCATTGGTAAGAATATGTGATTTCTTTTGTGTAGGGGCCTGTATTTATGTTGGTGTTTTTGAAAAGGCCTGAGTTTGCGTGGCGGACATGGTTTGCATAACATCCTGTGTTTGAGTAAAGGCAGAGGGGCCTGTCAGTGTGCTGTTTTCTGTCTTTATCGGGACCTCTAACTGTGTTCAATCATCTGTTTGTGTAAAGCTCTTTTTTCCTGGGTTCCTATGTTTGCATAGATCTATCTGCTTGTGTGGGGGCCTCTGTTTGCCAGCAGGCACCTGGTTATATGAAGTGTTTAAGGTGGCTGATTTTTCCAACTCAAGGCTGAACTTCTCAGTAAAATCTGTAACAGACTCTCCAGAGATTTCATTGCTTCCTCTTGTTCCTTGAAAGTAAAGGCTTGTTAAATGTCCCTGTTCAATCGCTCCTTATATCTGAGTCTTAGATTGTATTCTTCAAAGATTCTGTCAACTTCCAGATGCTCTACCCTCCACTGAATGGGGGATAAGTCAAAGACAGAAAAGGGAGTTGTTTCATGATCAGCTTCCATTGACATAGGAATTTTTAGTTCACTAGAGGAAGTAGATCCCCCCTTGGATCCCCTTACTTGAGTTATTAGACCATAAATAAAACAAACATATCTGGCAAAAAAAAATGTAAGAGTTATAAGCAGATTTAAATTAGATTTTGGGTGTTTGGCAAGAACCTTCTATGTTAAACCTTGAATGCATTTACTGAGTGTCCAAGAAACCATGTTGAGCGGATGGTGTTACGTTAACTTGTTTAACTTGTTTAACCTGAAGTCACATTGTAGATTAAAGGGGGTTGAATCCACCTACAAAGATATGTTTTTGCAAAAAACTGGTCCAATTTTTATAAAAAATTCCTACTTTGAGTTGCTTTATCCTATAAAATCTCGTTAAAAAAAGTAAAGTTTGTGGTTTTAAAGTGACAAAACATATAAAAAAGTTTACTGGGTATGAGGATATTTGCAAGGCACCCGCAGAGGGAATATTACTGGAGTCTCTGACGTTTTACTCTGCTTTAACTGACATAAAGACACAAAAATGTTGGGTGTGTTTCTGTCCTGGCCATTTCTGATAAAAACGAACTTGTGTAAAATGTGACATATAATACGACTGTCCCCGAATGCATCAGTAGAATACTAATAGATCATCAAGTACCTGGACCCACCTCTGTCTCCACCATTTCTCATGTTGGTGTCATCGTCCTCTGTTCCGTCATCCACTTAAAACAACAAATTAAACAGAGTTCAACATTTTTGATGCAGTGATTTCTGCTATTAAAGCTTAGATTGAGCAGAACTGACGACTCCTTTAACACAGGTTAAAGACTGACCTGAGTGGAGCTCTTTCACCAGGGATGACATGGTGTTTGTGATTGAGTCAGCAGCAACTAAAAGATCATTTCGAAGGTTTCTGGGTACACCTGAGGACCAGGAAAATAGGCTTTTATAAGTCTTGGAGTTCTTTTTGTTGCATCAACAAAGGGAATGTTGCATTTGAGTACAAATTCATCCCGATTGGCAACAGTTTAAACAAAAGCTCCTTTTCTGCAGCTGGGGGTTCAGACTCACCCTGAGCGAAGGCCTCCAGTACGTCTCCTCCCACACCTGCCAGGCAGTCCTGGGGTGTGTGTGTCGGAGTGGAACCGGCCGAGGTGGAGCGAATGGGCATGGGCATGGAGCAGCCGGCACCGTGGCTGGGAGAGGAATGAGGGGAGCCTCCAGACTGGGACTGCAAATCAATAAAAAAGGTCAGAAATGCCTAATTTTACTTAATCATTCAGGCAGTCCACTTATCCCCTGCCTTTTTAATTTATTAAATTACATTAAATTAAAAAGACAGATAACAAGTAAACAGGCCGATAGGTCCTGCACAGAATATACATCTGTTAAAATAGATAAAATAAATACCTAACAATGAATGTAAGCATTACTTCTTTTATTAAAAATGAAACATTTTTCCTGAAATGCAGACGTTGTTACATCTTACATGTAAATGTTTTTGTATATTTACTTTCTTATTTCAATTTTAGCTGATCAAAAGTTCACTTTGTCTAAATTCATAGCCTTACAATCCGCCTGCTGTTTCAGTGAAAATGATGTCATGACCGCAGTTAAGCAAAAGCACAAAAATGAATTACTTAGACTTCTCCTCACATGTTTTTGCTTTAAGCCATTATCTCACAACCAGTCCTTACAGACAGCCTCATACTGAGAGAATAAGGCTACTGTTTTAAATGGCAGACTAGATCCTTCAAAAGACTTAAAGAGCAGCAGCTGACTTAATATATGCTTCTTTTTAGGTGTTTCAAAATCATTTTCCATGATTTTTGTGTGGCCAGTTGTCAAGTTAAATAAAATAATGTTCTTCAAAGAAGTTCAAGTATACAAAGGTAAATAACATTTAAAAATATCTTATCGAAGTAAATCCTGTTGGTTAGTGTATCAATAAAGCCAACAATAAGATACTTATTCATGTACATTAAATTATTTTTTTGGGGTATGCACAGAATGTGGCTTTTAAAATAATTACAACATAAAGAATACATTTTGCATTTTGCTCCTTAACATGATGATGGGCTTTCAAATATGTGCTTATAACAAGAAGGATGAGCTCTCTGAGTGTTTCACTTCATTATATTTAAACATCTGAAATAAAATCAACCCAATGTCTCCCTTACATCAGAGGTTTCCAAACTTTTTAGCTTCTGACCCATGAAAATAGAACCAGAGTGGTCTCAGGGCCCAAACTACGGGCTAAGTATACATGCTTTTTAAAAAAACCCAACATAAATTAACTATACAAATGTGCCATCTTTCAGGTTAAAGTTATATATATTTAAGCACTTGAACATAATTGTTTATGTTCGGTTTAATTTCTGCAGTGGGTCTGAAAATCCCATACTGGTTGATCAAAAATCCCAGGTGGGGTCACAACCTAAACTTTAGGAATCAATGCCTTCCAATTTAAGACAGCATCAGACACATGGTTATAACTAATCAACAATACAAAATATGTACACCATTAGATACTGTAAATATATCTCCAGCTTAGCAAGAATGGTGCTGATTTTTTTTAGAAAAACCCAAGAACTCTGTGGCTTGTTTCACAGCTTGAATGCTGCAGAGGGGCATCAGCGATACAGAACACACACGAGAACAGGTTTAAGGCTTCAGCAATGACAGAACGGTTGTAGTATTTGCATTTTATACCATGCAATACAAAAGGAAAATCACTCAAATATGACTGGCTTCAATCAAAAAGTGAGTCAATCTGAGCCGTTTCCTGAAAATTTAGAAGATATTTCCCCTGGCTTCTTAGATGAGTATTGATTTATTTTTGTAATATAAGGTTTATTTATCAGTCTTATTAATTCTTTAATCTGCTAACATTAATGCTTCACTATTTTAATATTGTGACTTTATTCTTGTAAAATTACTACTTTATTGTCGGGACACTAAGACTTAATTCACGCAATGTTTTGACTTTATTCTCCTAATATCATGACTTTTCGAATATGATTTAAATATATTATTGTCAGTATAACTATATTACTTATTTTAATTAAAAGTTATCTTTATGTTCACAGTGTCACAACTTTAATCTCCTAATCTAATGACTTTCCTTGTAATGGTATGGTTGGAATCTTTGAATATGTTAATTGTTGTAATGTTACAATTTTGTTGTTGTAGATAAATTATTAATTTCCTTTTGTAGTTAATAAAGTATTTTTATTATTGTCATAAAAGTACTAACTTAATCTGTTGGACCTAATATTATGACAGTATTCCTTTGATATTATGATGTTTTACTTTTGGACATTGTAAAGGAAATTAATTATTCAGACAAGATGGTCACACAATAAATAGTTATGGTAAAAAACATGATGATAACATAATGCAGTGAATGAACTCAGTATTTCCTGATGCAGTTAGACAAGGTAAACGGTTTGTCCAAGCTCACACAGAATACTTCATGTTTGAAGAAACTTCACACTCAGAAAAAAAATTGATAACTGGTTCTCAATTTTGTGTTAATGCTACCGTACTTTTCAGACTATACTGCGCACCTCACTAAAAGCTGCACCCACACATTTTTTGTTTTCACAATTGGAAATGTATATATAAGCCCCATCAGGCTATAAGTCGCTGATATCTACTGAACTGCCCCCCCAACAAACCTGTAAGGGGAGCTCTACATATCACCCCAAATTAGGGACAAAGAAGAATGCTGTAAGAGCTTCTACAGTAAAGATGAGGTTTAGCTCTTAATTTCAGCTCTGCAGGAGTTGGGCAAAGTCTGTTTATTGGCTCCACAGGTTTAATGTGATAACTAAAAATCAAAATGTGTGAATTCGGCAGAGATGGCAAAAGTACTCGCTTTCCGTACTTGAGTAAAAGTACAGATACTTGTGTTAAAAAATAGTCTGGTAAAAGTGGAAGTACTGATTAAACTTCTTTACTCAAGTAAAAGTAACAAAGTACAGGCTTGTAAATTTACTTAAAGTATAAAAGTAAAAGTAGAAACCACTTTTTTCATGCCGTTGCCTACATTTTAAATGGATGTCTGCCAATAGGACTAGATCTCCGTTGTGTTCATTTTCAATCATCTCGTCGTCCATGCTACTATGCTAACGCCACCGCCACCAAGCTGCAATGATTTGCAGCGAATGAATACCGTCGAATCTGTCGATTCATCTTGTAGTGGTGCGTCAAATGCAACGTAGATTTCCATCCAATTAGATTGAATTTGGTATTTATGACGTGAAAAATAATAACGGTAACTCCATTGAAATGATTCAAAACTAAAGTAACGAGCCAATTTTTTAAAATGTAAGGAGTAGAAAGTACAGATATTTGTGTAAAAATGTAAGGAGTAGAAGTAAAAAGTCGCCATTAAAATAAGTAGTAAAGTAAAGTAAAAATATCAGAAAAATCTACTTAAGTACAGTAACAAAGTATTTGTACTTCGTTACTTCCCATCTCTGGAATTCGGCACATTTGTTCTCCGTCGTGCCTCTCGCTAGCATGCACTTGTGCTAAATTAAAATGATCCTCTTTTTCTTTTATTTCCAATTTTGACTTCCGTCCCGCTGCTGGTTTGGGAAAATCCTCAGAAACGCTGCACCTTCGAATAGGCAATAAAAAGGGTAGCGCCATATAGTCCAGAAAATACGGTATACTGGTTGGACGTCTCTCCATGAAACAGCTCAACTACATCAGGAGGTTAATGAATATGATGCATGGATGTGGAAGTGGGTCCATTGCTGAGGCAGGAGCTATATCTCCCACAGAGATCACTGTCTGTCAGTGAATGTGGCACAGTCCAGGTCAGTGACTCGGAGGCAGAGGACAGATGACCAGTCAGACCACTTAAAGCGAGGTGGGTACAGCTGACTAAAGGAGCAAGTCTGACAAATGGACAAATAAAAGCTGGGTATTCTTCAACCTGGCATTGAACACAAACACTCTAAACTTCATGCTGACATTAAAATAACTATTGTGCATTAATTAGAAATCCATTACCAGATCAGACAAAGAATGTTTTATGTTCCTATATTGATTTAACAAACTTATACAAATTGTATCTTCGAAAAAGAGGAGGAAGTACTGTATAGAGAAATTCAACTAAGCTCTATGCAAACTGAATTAAGGGCAACTTACAGCCTGCTTCTGCTCCTCATCCTATCAGCCAACAAAGGTAAGCAGAGAAAAAGCAAGAAGAGCGAGAGCAAAAGAATTAATGAAAAAAATATTTTTCATGCATCAAATGGCACATTTACACAACACAACATCATGGTAGTGTCTTGGGTGTGAAGCCGTTTGCACATTTTCTCTGTTAAAATCCTAATTATTTAAGGTAGAAAAGCACCAGCAAGTCAGTACATATCCAAAGAAGAAGCAGATCCAAGACGTTTGGTGCCCTAGCTACATTGAGCTCTCATCCTCCCACCAGCAGATACATTTTCTCAAATCAGGAGAGCATTTTACCTTCAGCAACCTCATCAGACCCTCCAGTTGGACCATCAACTCCCGCCTGCTCTCCTGCAAGGCCGACATGCGCCTCTCTAGCTCATCCTTCCTGTGTCTGTGGACAGCAAGGAACATGGCACACGTTTAAGCTTATGAATTTGTTCCACACCGAGTAAAACTAGCCCAAATACCTTTGCAGTTTTATTGCACTGTAAAGCCAAAACAAAAAATGCAAAGCACATCCTGGCAGAAGATTGGCTGAACAGAATCAGACCCTTTTCCAAGGTTATTCATTAACAAATGAATAAATGCATGTAGTAGGATTTGTGTTGAGGTGACCATACTATCTACACAGCTTTCTTTCGATCCAAGAATCCGATAGTATATTTGCAGTTGTACCTAACTGTACTGGCTTCAAAATGTATGACATGTATTAACATTTGGGTTAGAAATGAGATGCTGAATTCTGATCAGGTTTACAACCTTGCATTATGCAGCTGGGAGTTTTGAGGGCTGGATTACACTCTAAAACAGCTAAATCTATAAATCTGATCTAAAACAGAAAAAAATTGCAGGAGAAACATATCTTGTTTCTTTCAAACATAAAATATTTTAAAGGTCAGAAGATCGAGGCGAGGGTGTTTTTTTTTTGTACTTCAGAACACAGAGGTTTCAAAATACACTCACCGGCCACTTTATTAGGTACACCTGTCCAACTGCTCTTTAACACTTAATTTCTAAGCAGCCAATCACATGGCGGCAACTCAGTTCATTTAGGCATGTAGACATGGTCAAGACAATCTCCTGCAGTTCAAACCGAGCATCAGTATTGGGAAGAAAGGTGATTTGAGTGACTTTGAACGTGGCATGATTGTTGGTGCCAGAAGGGCTGGTCCAAGTATTTCAGAAACTGCTGATCTACTGGGATTTTCACGCACAGCCATCTCTAGGGTTTACAGAGAATGGTCCGAAAAAGAAAAAACATCCAGTGAGCGGCAGTTCTGTGGGCGGAAATGCCTTGTTGATGCCAGAGGTCAGAGGAGAATGGCCAGACTGGTTCGATCTGATAGAAGGGCAACAGTGACTCAAATAACCACCCGTTACAACCAAGGTGGGCAGAAGAGCATCTCTGAACGCACAGTACGTCGAACTTTGAGGCAGATGGGCTACAGCAGCAGAAGACCACACCGGGTGCCACTCCTTTCAGCTAAGAACAGGAAACTGAGGCTACACTTTGCACAAGCTCATCGAAATTGGACAATAGAAGATTGGAAAAACATTGCCTGGTCGGATGAGTCTCGATTTCTGCTGCGACATTCGGATGGTAGGGTCAGAATTTGGCGTCTACAACATGAAAGCATGGATCCATCCTGCCTTGTATCAACGGTTCAGGCTGGTGGTGTCATGGTGTGGGGAATATTTTCTTGGCACTCTTTGGGCCCCTTGGTACCAATTGAGCATCGTTGCAACGCCACAGCCTACCTGAGTATTGTTGCTGACCATGTCCATCCCTTTATGACCACAATGTACCCAACTTCTGATGGCTACTTTCAGCAGGATAATGCGCCATGTCATAAAGCTGGAATCATCTCAGACTGGTTTCTTGAACATGACAATGAGTTCACTGTACTCAAATGGCCTCCACAGTCACCAGATCTCAATCCAATAGAGCATCTTTGGGATGTGGTGGAACGGGAGATTCGCATCATGGATGTGCAGCCGACAAATCTGCGGCAACTGTGTGATGCCATCATGTCAATATGGACCAAACTCCCTGAGGAATGCTTCCAGCACCTTGTTGAATCTATGCCATGAAGAATTGAGGCAGTTCTGAAGGCAAAGGGGGGTCCAACCCGTTACTAGCATGGGGTACCTAATAAAGTGGCCGGTGAGTGTATTCTTACATAAAAGACATATTTACTTAAGTATGCTACTTAAGTACAAAATACATTTCTTTACAGCGCTGAAAGTTGAAGTTTGTGTTGTAGAAGGTCTGAGATAACAACTAAAGCAGTCCTCACCATGGTTGCTCTCTGGGATGCATTTCTGCCCTTGCAATCTCTTTTTTCTTTATCTTGGTATATGCAGCAGAAATGGAGATTCCTGATATTCTTGGAGGCACATCTAATGTCAGTTTGGTTTTGAGAACCTTATCTTACACAAACATATATAAGTTTTGCAAGTTTAAAACCATTTCTACGGTGGCCCTGAAGTGCAAACTGCAACTACAAATCTAAAAGCGCACATTTCAGTCGTAGAAAAGGAATCCCAAAGATAAAAAAATAAAATAAAGACCAAAATGCCATAGATACATAGAAAACTGGGTAGAATGTGTTGTATTGAGGGCAAAACTGGTGATCTCAGTTTGTTTTTTGTTTTGTTTTGTCTTTTTTTACTTACATTTTATTCATTATCAAATTTAAATGAACACATTTTATTTTGACACAAACATAAAACATAAATAAATAAATTAGCCATAAGATATGCACTGTTTTTGATCTGAGCCTAGTTAGTGTTTAAAGTAAAGATTAATTTCTGAAAAGTAGCTAATTATCACCCTCTAGTGTTAATACTATGTATTTCCAAATCTTCTCACAAGATGAGATGAATCCATATGCCTAAAATAATAGTCTCCCAGCTAATCTCCCAGCTCCTATTCCTAGCTCCTATCCCTTCACCTTTTGAGGGTCAACAGAAAGAACTCTATCCAAAACACCCCCCAGCCTCATGGACGTCTTTCTGTGATAGACATGCTGATGAATCACTGGTTAAAGTGGGACTACAGGCTGCCGGAAAACAACAACAAAAATTAAATTTACACATATTTACCAAAACAATTAGGCTCTCTATTATAAAACCCAGAACATATGAAGGTGATGACATTTGCATTTTTGATAAACTAAGTGAGGTGGGCTGTGCTAATTCTGTTTATCGTGCAAAGGATTGTGGAAAACCATTTAGTTTATAAAAGCAGCTAGAGACCTCAGGGGGTTCCTATGCTAAATGCATTTAATGCTAGGTAGCATAATGCCTCCTGGTCCTATCTTCACATCCTATTCAGATAACAGTTTTGTTACCACCGAGGCTATAGTGTCCTTACTGCATTGAGGTATTCGAATTGAGTCTGAAATTTGCCTAATTAGGGAAATTAGACCAGTGGGTCAATAGTGGAGCAGAGGAGGCTCACAAATCCCAAGTTGCTTTAAAATTCTTTACAGTTTACTGGCTGGAAAGTAAGCAGGGTTTTAATCTTGAGACAAAGTTTAGCCTGAAACAGGAAATTGAGCCACACGTAGCGGGTAAAATGAATTTTCCCCTTTCAGATTTCCTCTGCTTATGTAAAAATGTTTAATAAGAATAAACAGAACCTGAATAAATACAAACACACCTTCCCATATATATGAAAACTTTGCTCCTCTGTTTAAATAAACCTAGCTATGATTAACAGTTATATACAGTATAATCTGCCTTGATGATGTTAAAAAGCAGCCTTATTGTAAAGACATTCAAACACTGATAACAGTCATTATTAATTATCACTTCAGAAAATATTGCAAAATGTTTTCTAAGCCCTTTGAACTCCATAGAATTGCAGTCAGAGCCATGAAGCATAAATGACAAAAACAACTTTTCATCACCAGGAGTGGAACCTTTTCCTGGAGTGGCAGGGAATGATTTTAAAAACCCACCAAAGATTCATCTAGGAGGTAACACAACCCCACCCCAAATAATAATGCAGGATTCAACAGACTCAGTAAGGTCAGTGTTCACGTTGATGCAACACAAAAATTCCATAGGAGTTTCCAAGGCAAAAACACTGCTGGCTTAACCATCATCTGGATGATTTTGGAGGGAAGTGAAAACTTTTGCTTTGCTTTGTTTCAGAACTTGGAGGCTTTCATTGACGGACCAATGGCTTTCGCTCTCTGCCAGGAAATCTTTATAGGGATTCATCATAATCAGCAGATTATGTTCAAGCACGTTTTTTCAGCATGGCCCCCTCTGAGGACCTCAAGAAACAAAAAAGTGATTACAAATTTCACACTCACCAGTTTAGAACATTAAAGGGGAACGCCGTTTTTTTTTTTTTTTTTACATTGGCCCCTTGATTTTACGTTATTCCATCATGTTCTACTCACCCATATGAGTTTACTGTCATTTGGAGCCGTTCTGAAGATATTCCGTTAGGTTATATCCAAGTAACGTCTTCCTTTGGGCAACGACTTGAAGGCACAAACTAAACTGTTCATCATTTATTCTTTATGGTACGCCAGCATTCAGAACATGTAGGCCAATCACTGTCCCCCAGATATCTGTGGTTATATTTTTTATATTTATATGTTTTAAAAACAAAGCAGACTGTGTATGACGTCATCCGTGTGCCGGACTGGAGTTGTAACAGGCAGCCCAGGCCACAGGCGGCTACGCTCTACCCCTTCTATTCATTCTAGCTAATCTGAATCGTTCAATTACATTTGGGGAGCGAGATCATCTGTGGTAGCAGCACTAGACATCTTCCAGGCATGTGAGGAAAACTAGCAGCAGTTCAGCAGACAGGATGAATGAATGGTAGCCGGCGCGCGCGGATGATGTCATACAAACGCCGCTTTGTTTTAAAAAGATATAAATATAAAAAATATAACCGCGAATGTCTGGGAGACAATGATTCGCCTACATGTTATGAATGCTGACGTACCATAAAGAATAAATGATGAACAGTTTAGTTTGTGCCTTCAAGTCGTTGCCCAGAGGAAGACGTTACTTGGATATAACCTAACGGAATATCTTCAGAACGGCTCCAAATGACACAAAACTAATATGGGTGAGTAGAGCATGATGGAATAACGTAAAATCAAGGGTCCAATGTAAAAAAACTGGCGTTCCACTTTAAAATAAAAAAGAAATATTCACCTCTGTTGACTTCAGATTTATGTTTAGAACAGAGTACAAGACCTTCTTCAGGGTAAAAACTGCTTTAGTCTGTTATTTCAGAAATCTCTTCCAAGGAATAAACCTAAGGGTGACCAAAGCTCTGCAGTGTAACAAACACTTATGTTGCTGACAATGTCGCAGCAAATTTATATAAAGTCTTCTGCATCAGGATGACATTGCCTCAGTAAACAGGAAGAGAAGAGGGATCTGGGGTGTTACTGAGGCATACTTTGCCCTCCATTTGTATGCATCTTGCTGTTATTGTCAGGTAAGGGCATGTTGGATCACGTGTTGCTGGTGACAGACTGATACCTGAGGAGTCGCAGCTCGGTCAGAAGCGTGGGATTCTGCTGGGCTTTTTCTGGAGTGGGCTGCGAGGCTTGTTCATGCTCCAAACGGAGCCTCTGGATCTCCTGCAAGATCTCCCTAATTTGGTTAGAAGAAAAAATTCTGAGTCTGACAAGTTGACAATAATAGAATAAAATGAAATAGTCTTTGTTGTTACTCAACGGGAAAATTTGGGTGTGTGAAGGGCAAAGCAAATACTGTCTGTATGTAAAGTAAAGGATACACAGATAAAAACAATACAAAGAAACAATGACAAGAACAAAAAATAATCTTAAATGTTTCTGATGAAAATTTAAAAGAGAGATCATATCTCTCCTATCTTAGCTTCTCTTCATTGGCTTCCTGTTAAATCCAGAATAGAATTTAAAATCCTCCTTCTCACATATAAAGCCTTAAATGGCCAAGCTCCATCTGATATCAGAGATCTGATTGTTCCTTATGTTCCTAACAGAGCACTTCGCTCTCAATCTGCAGGTTTACTAGTGGTTCCTAGAATTTCTAAAAGTAGAATGGGAGGCAGATCTTTTAGTTATCAGGCTCCTCTCCTGTGGAACCAACTACCAGTTTTAGTCCGTGAGGCAGACACCCTGTCTACTTTTAAGGCTAGGCTTAAAACTTTCCTTTTTGATAAAGCTTATAGTTAGAGTGGCTCAGATTATCCTGAGCTATCTCTATAGTTCTGCTGCTATAGGCTTAGACTGCTGGAGGACATAGGGACCACATTTTCATCATTCTGCTTCATTCTATCTCTATTCCCCCACTCTGCAGAATTTTTTTGTTCAATCTCTAACGTTCTGCTCTCTCTGCTTTTTTTTTTCATAGTAGCTTCATCTGGTCTGTTCCTGTTTGGCTGTGACACCACTTTGGAGAGAAATATCAGCTGTGCTGCTTCCATCAACACCTTTGTTTATAGCCTGTTTTTTTTAGTTTAGTCCTGTTTCTCTGACTGTGACTGGCTGGATATGCTCTCTTTCATCCTAAAACATGGGAACAGGCTCGGAGCTCGTCTGCCTGGTGGTGTGTTTCCTGAACGGGGCCGCCTGTGGAGCTGGTTGACAGTTTCCTTTTGTATCTATGCTTCTTTTTCTATGTCTGCTTCTGTCTCCTTGAACCCCAGTCGGCCTCGGCAGATGGCCGCTCACACTGAGCCTGGTTCTGATGGAGGTTTCTTCCTGTTAAAAGGGAGTTTTTCCTCTCCACTGTCGCTACAAGCATGCTTAGTGTGAGGGATTGCCTTCCAGTCAATGAGTCGATGCAACCAGCTGGTTTTCCTTAGATAGAAAACTTGACTGGATGATCTGGTTGAATTGTCTCTGTAAAATACCATGAGATGACGTGTTGTGAATTGGCGCTATATAAATAAACTGAATTGAATTTAGATTAAAAAAATTATAATAAAAAATATAATAATAACAAAAGTAAAATAAAAAAAGAGATCAACTAAAATAATGTTCAAGATTCTTACAGAAGAAATGGAAAAACTGTACGAATAGCTGCGTGGATGTAAAACATATAGAATAGCAGTAAACTATGCAAATGAGAGACGCATTGGCAGCTGATAAGCTGAAAATTAGGCACAGACTTCAGAATTGGGCTTCATGGTGAACATTTTATCCACTGAAACAGAAAGACAGTTACACTGCAGGTATGATGAAACCTTAACATGCAGGCATAAAATCTAATCTGATTCGGAGGAGAGCAGTTGAAGCATTTTTTTAAGCAAGGTGTTTGGCAGAGGCATAGCCAGAAAATGTTAATGGGGTGGCCATTCAATAACCAATGTACACTGAGGGGTGGCTGAATGCGAATGGCATATCATCCATATTTCCTACATAAAGACAAACTATACTTTCCTACAGCCTTTTCTAAAAAAAAATAGATGCACATATTTAAATATCCATGCTATCTAAATAACAGGTATAGTGGACAAAATGTCTGGGGTGAAAATTGTTCCATTGTCATTACTTACCATATTTATAAAAAAATTTTTTTGCATACAATTAATATTGACGTGTACTAATATGTGCATTAAATTGATTTTGAAGTTATTAAAGTACTAGTTATTTATCTATGATTTTACTGAAGACATGTAGATGACCTGCAGAGACACATCATTTTCTCTTTACCCCATATGACAAAATTACAAAATTTCGTTCTGAAAAGAGCATCATTTCTGTACATATCAATATTAATGTTAGTATTTTGATGTGCATAATTAACCACAAAAATTTAAATGTTTAATATGTTTGAACATTCCCAGAAAAAAATTGGTAGGGGTGGCAACAGGGGTGGCCAATGATTGGCTAAGGGTGGCCATGGCCACCGCTGGCCCCCCATCTAGCTCTGCCCCTGGTGTTTGGCTTCTGTTTCATCCTTTTTAAATTATTTACAGTGAGATACTAAGTTATTCACTTTCTGTTTTTAAATGTAAAGGAAAATATAACACAGATATTTTCCCCTAATTCAAATCCACCTTTTAAAATTACCTTCAACAACAATAAACTATATCAAATGATATTTCGTACCTGTTTTTGTTCTCCAGCTCTGCAATCAGCTGCCTCTGTTGCTTATTGGCATCAAAGTTAAAACTCAGATCTGTTGGAGGACATTGCTGCTGAAAAAGAAAAAAGGAATAGTGAGAGAAAGTATGTAAAGGTATTCATACTAATTGCATTTTTTGTTGACATTTTGCCATGTTGCTTCTACAGATCTCTGTATTTATTTGAGTTGTGCATAACTGAGGCATGGAGGTAAAAAGGCTATCGGGCTTAAATCCTTGAACAGATAAAAAGCTGAAAACAAAGGGTACATTGGTATTCAGCTTATTATGTCACTGTTGATTTCAAAATATCTCGAAACCAACGTTTCACCAACTTGTTCTCAAGCCATTTGTACCCCCTAACAAGTTTTCTTCTATGAATTCCCTAAAACACACAAACCTCCCTCTCTTTCCCAGCTGAAGAAAAGCATCCCCACAGCATGGCGCTCCCACCACCATGTTCTGCCATCAGCATACTGAGTTTGGGGCCATGCAGTTTTAGTATTTAAATCATGCATAGTTTCTTTGCCATCTTAATTATCCTTCACAGTTTGCCGTCTTCTCTGCAGGGTTTGTGGAACCGGTAAATAGGACTTAAATTTTTTTTAACCAATTAGATTATTTGTGACACTTTTCCCATAAGGTTTAGGTTTGTGGATTGCACAACACTTGTTATCTTGTAAATTTCATACACCTGAGCAGTGGCTTTCTACAGCTCCTCCATGGGTGTTTTTGTTGCATCTATAATCAATTCTGTATTGCATGATTAGATAGTTAAATTAGAATGAGCATGTCTCATAGGTTTGCAGCTGTGTCATAGTATTTTTATACTTAAAGTAGATGGAATGAAAAGTGTTGAAGAGCGATGTTTAAAGTTCACGATGGTCTTCATAACCTTCAAACTGTTAACATTAATACTAACAAAAAACAACAACAATTTATACTAGGGATGCACGATATAATCGGCCTCCTATCGGTATCAGCCTGTATCGGCCTTAAAACTGAATATCGGACATCGGCCACCCCACCGATATTTAACCCGAAATTTGATCAGCTTCTGAGTTTCTAAAGTCTAAAAAAATACTACTTCTTCTTCTTCCTCAAAAACTTATTTTTTACAGACTTAAAAACTTCTAAAGACGAGGAAAAAAATATTGATCCATTAAAATATCACAATATCTTCATATGCTGATATATTGCCATTTAAAAACACCATATCAATCTCTTTTACTAATGAAATATTGCTACATATCATCGTTATGCTACGAAATCCCCCGAAAATTCACGAAATTTTGCCATATTTTTATATGTTGATATATTGACGCGGTATTGATCTATTTTACTATCAAAATCTCACAAGAATTTGCAAAATATCACGAGAGTTTGTAACAGAACGATTAAATTTCACCAGATTTTGAAAGTAAAATAGATCGATACCGCGTTTTTTTTAAAATCTATTTGATATCAGCATATGAAAATATATTTCAGTATATTATTTTTCAAAGTGTCAGAAATGGATAACAAAACTGCTATTTTCAATGACTACTTATTTTTGTCCAGCTTTAACATCGGTATCGATATCGGTTATCGGCTACATGAGTTTTAAAATATCGGCATATCGGATATCGGCCAAAATCCCAATATCATGCATCCTTAATTTATACAACACAGCCAGACTTTCGGGGAGTGTTGTAGAAAGTACTGAAATCTCGGAGTCCAGTAAAAGTATAAGTACCTCTCCAAAATATGACTTTGGTAAAAGTCCAAGTCACTGACTGAAATGTTACTTGAGAAAAAGTCTTAAAGTATCTGAAATGGCTTGTACTTAAGTACAGTATAAGAATTACTATAAAAATAGATGTACTCAAGTAATGAAGTGAAAAGTATAAGTAAAAAGTAAGGGCAGTTTGAATGACATTGTTTTACATTTGCTTAGTAACTAAACCAAACATTGAAAATGTATCGGAGTAAAAGTATGCAATTAAGTTTGTAAATGTAGTGAAGTAAAAGTGAAAGTTCTCAAAAAAAATCTATACTCTTGGAAAGTATAAAGTACTCCAAAATGTACTTACCGTAAGTACAGTAGTGAAGTATTTTTACTTTGTTACTATACAACACTGCTTTCTGATTTTAAAGAGGAAAAAGGGGCACTTTAAACTAGGGCTGTGACTGACGATCATTTTGCTAATCCGTTAATCTGTTACATATTTTTTTCAATTAATAATCCTATAGAGAAAGGTCGCTTAAAGAATTTATTTGCAGAATTTATACCAGGGGAAACTAAACCCTTTCCACTCGAGGAGGTCTGGATAGAGCATATTGATGGGCAAAAATGTTTTTCATCTTAAATGCAAAATGTTTAAAAAAAATTGTTTTTTACAATCTTGTTATATGTACTGCTTTAAGGAGGTTGCTCTGTCAGCTATTTTATTCACCATTTAATGATTGAATGATTACTAAAGTAGTTGACGATTATATTAATAATCGATTAATCTGATTGTTTCAGCCCTTATTTAAACATCTACTTTCTCAACAGGCAGTAAATATACAAAACATAAATTTTCATTTAATTTATACAAAGTCAATTGTTAACTTTGAAATGTATTAACCTCCAACTCTGGGATCCGATATAAGCACGAATTTCAATTTCAAGTTCACATCATAAGAATTTCAAATTAGTAGATTTTTTTATTACTTCTCTGCATTTTACTAGCAGCAAAGAGAGAAAATGAAGAAGAAAGCAATAACTTTTGCTACAAAAAGATTGAAATCACAGCTTGACTGAAACCCAATGAGGCTTTATGAGATACTTACTGTGGAGTTGCCTGCCTCAGCTGCCAGGCGTGCTGCGTAACGCGCAATGAGCCGGTGCTCTTCATCTAACCGGCTGGGGCTCTCCAAGACACTGACCAAAATCAAACAGAGCAATATTTCACACACATGTACACACATAGTAACTGTCATGTTTGCAAAACATAAAACTGTTAAAAGATGCAGAAAAATGATTTTAAACATGTTATTTTTATACTACTTATCCGTTAGTTCAAAACCAGGAAATGAAATAACTGGTCAGAAAAATGAACTGACGATGGATAAGCAGAATGCCAGACACGTTTCTCACACTATCAACGCTTGCTCTGGGGATTTCAGCCAAAGAAGATTTCATCCAAAGCTCCATAGTTAAAATGACCATGGGCGTGACATATGGTGTGGGCAGATGATGGGACATATGTTGCTTTTTCTCTGCAGGACATTTCCAATGAGGAGAGAAGGAAAGCTCAAATGGTTTGGGGAGCTTTCCAGTTTGGATTGCTAAGTGACCAAAAGTCACCAATTAAACTTGGTGTGTTTGCAAACCTACTGCATTAACCATTAGTGTTTTCCCCAAAAACACGACAAAAAGGGCCTTCTGGTGTCCCACATCAGACTCCGAACAAGCATTTCATCCTTACAGATTCTTCTGTCTTTTCCTTGAGGGTTTTCAGCAGAACTTATGGTTCCATTAATATCAGCAAGCTGTCCATGACCTTAAGCTGCCAAGCACTGTCAGGCCACCACACTATCCTACTGTCACCAGCACGCTTAACTGTGAGCAGCACGTTCTTTTCTCTGAAATGTTGATTTAGAGCAGTTGCAACAAGACACACGCCTTCCAAAACATTTCTTTTATGTGTTGTTATTTTACACATTTTCTCCAAGTTTTTTATTCTTTTTGTGAAATGTTTTTTATGCTGCTCATGGTCAGCAGTGGTTGGCCTTTGATATCTTTTTCGCGTTTTAGCTTCAACTTCATATTGTTGAAGTCATGACCTCTTCTCCATTTTTGTGACCCCCTAATGGGTTGATGATGTTCTCTTGGGATCATTTCGGTAGGCCAGCCACCTTTGGGAACGTAAAAAATTGTTAACACTTTTCCTCTAGATTGCAGCCAAAGAAGTTGCTTTGTAACGCTGCATGTAGATGTCAGTGATTTTGTTTTTCATTCATATCATGAGCATGATATGATGCTTTCTGGGTTTTTATTAGCAAAATATTGACAGAGAAGTTTTACAGTATTTATGTGTTTAATTGATTCTATGGTAAAGGTGCCACCTGGGACAGGTTGAATCTGGAAAATTATATTTCACCACATATTTGGATTATTGTCAATTAATTTATGATTTATGAGCATGTAAAATTGAATTTTCTTATAGATTGCATTTTTTTTTTTTTTATCTTAAAGGACTACTCTCCCCTACATCGACCTCTTTCTGATGTGATAAACTCTATAAATATATGTCTTATAAGATTTGCTGAAATCCTGTCTTTGTATCTCAAACCATCCTCAGGTTAAAAAAGTAATTTTTATTATTGCTTACTTATTTTTTTAGTGAATTACCTGGGGATGTGAACTGATGTAAGCAGCTCTAAGCAACTACTCTCTGGTGACTTGCTCCAACTACACGCAGTTGGTAGCTTAGGGACCAACGATAAATTAATTGATTGCGGAAAATCAAAATAGATAGTGATTTCTTTTTTATTACAAAAATAGTTCATGCATTTAAAGGTCCACATCATCTGTTCATTCTAATATAATAATTTTAGATTTGTGTCAATCCGAACATGATCTATACTTTATTGGAAAAAACCCTATAAATTTTGAAAAAAAAAGTTATAAAACGCTTTTAAATTGGACAAAAATGACATGCCTTGTCTTTTTATTATAAAATAATGATTTTGCATCCATGTTGAGTAAATTTCTGAGCCTGCGGATCAAACCGGTACAGCTGAGGGCTGCTGGGCTCTTTCACAGAACCTTCCTCTCCTCTCAGCCTATTTTCAACGTCTCTGATTGTGAAGATGGGGAAGAGAAATCCTCTGCCTCATACAACCACTAATTCACAAAATAATCACCATGTACCACTGTGATTCACAGTCGATCTGCCCTCCATGGTCCTGCAGGACACTCTTTCCAGCAGGAGCATTTGTTTTATATTTTACGGGCGGCTGTTAGGCTCTGGAGTTACATAAGTTATACTTTATAAATATATTAAATAATAATTTGACAACTACTTCAATTAAGTGTGATAAAAAGAGCAAAGCTATAAGAGTAAGTAAATAAAGATGCTACAACGCAGGCAGTGATAATTTTAGCTGCCTTTTTATTATTACATGAAAACCCCAGATTGAACTGAGGAAGGAGCAAAAGTGTCTGACAGATTTCTTGGGGGCGCTTAACATGTTGTGTCATAACCTTAGGGAAGAATGAAACATGTAAAGGAAGTCAATCAGAGAGGGACGCAAAAATAACGTCTTGCTAAATGGGCTCTTTCTAAATGATTTAAAGTCTCACAGATACTGATGTTTTTTTGTACGAATGTGGCAACGCATCAGGGAGCCACTCTGCCAGACTCCTTAAGCTCTGTTATGTTGTTGGTGATTCAAGATGGTTGTAGCCACGTTTAAGACAAAAAAAAAAGGAACAATTTGGCTTTTCTGGTTTGTTTATCTGGTAAAACAAATATTGAACTGGACTTGAAAAAACTCCAAATGGCACATTGGTAACTCCCATATTGGGGCATCGAATGATAAAGTGGTTTCTTTCTTTGAAAATATTCTGAGCATTATTTTAACCAGACAGCTATTATCCAGATCCTCCTTTCCACATTTACATACAGTAAAGTCAAAATGTTGGCACATAAAGTCAGAATAAGTGTTTATTTTACAGCTTCAGCTTGCAATCAAACAGTCCTACCTCAAAGGCAGCTAAACTTGTTACATTCATCTTAACTTGAAATAAAATAAAGGTCATAAGCAAAATATTCAAATTCTCCACTAGAGCTTGGTGTGGCCATGATGCAAGCTTTCAAAAAAATTATCACAAGAGAAAATAAGGGAAAAGTTTGATCAAAAGGAGCTTTTGTTCTACAATGTTAAATGACAGCCTTTCTTCAGGAGGTGTGACGGTGCAGATTGAGGAGAAAGAAATCTCATGCTTCGAGTAGTAAGGTTTCCAATATAATCTTACAACGACTTTCAAAAGTATCACCCTCTAAATTTTATTAAACAATATTCAGTGAAGATCACAAAGTTCACTGAATTCTTTGTGCCAAACCAGCGCAAAGTAACTGAAGGCTTTTACTGGTCAAAACTCAAAAGACTGATGCTTTTCTATGCATGTGTAAGTCAAATACTTTAATTTGCAATTAACGCTACAGGTCTGAAGAAAGGGTGTCTTTATCTTATTGAGTTATCCTCAATAAGATAAAGTTATCCTATAAGCCAATTGATTCTAACATGTTTCCCATTAATTCTGCTATTTCTCTAACTATCTTCATCTCAAAGCGCCAGAGATGGGGACTCGAGTTTGTGACTCGTACTCGAGTCGCATTTAACCCCTAGAACCCTACGGACCCACTGGTGGGTCCAGCTGCTACGTGACCTCGTAATTTTAACAAACCCCCAGTATTGATGTAAAAAACACACTTAGCACAGTTTGGTGACATTTTTGGATAAATGTGCCAAAATGGCCTCTCCGCCTAAAAAATTTCTCACTAATACCATTCTAAAATAAATATGATTCATCTGATTGAGTCCAAATTTGGTATATTTTTACACAACATTTAGATTTAAAAGTCTGTACGACTTTTTTGTGCTATAAATAATATTTTGGTAGTGTTTTGCAATGTTTATTTCAAAGAAAACTTTGGCGAGGTTCAAAAAATGCAAAATATTTTATATTTTGTCCCTAATATTTCAGGCAGGGTCAAAGCTACAATGGTGCTGACACCAGAAAACCATCTAATCTAATAGCTGTGAGGCTATAAGTGATTTACTTTTGTGTGTTTTTGTCAGGCAGAAATTTATTCATACCCCCTGAGGGTGTAAAAGGTTAAGTCGCATATTTAATGACTTTAGACTCGACTTAGACTCGTGATTTCTGACTTGTGAACAATATTATATTTTTAAGTGTTTTTTGTTTTACTAACTTGACTGATCGCCGATCGCCTTACCCGCACACAGCAGAGATAAAAAAAGGGGCAGAGGTGCTGTCAAACTGTGACATTGCACTGACGTCACTGACGCAACGCTACGTGACATATATGCCCGCACGCCCGTGCGCATGCATGCATGATCGACAAGCCAAGCTTTAAAAACTTCATGGCAGTCGTAGAGCAGAAATATGTTGTGAATAATGTTGTGAATTGGCACTAAATAAATAAACTGAATTGATTTTAAAATACTGCCCGCCAAGTGGGTTCTGTCTGTTCCAGGGCATTAAACTACAAAAAGTTATTGCCACAATGTTTCTTTTATGAAAGAATTGTTATTGTCCTGGTATCTATTTAGGGTTTTTCTTTATCTGTTGTAGTTGCTAACTTCATATGTATTAATAAAAAGCAGGATTGTGATTGTTTTTTTCCCACAGCCCTCATTTTCACTTTAAAATAAAAGAGCAGAAATTTACTCCTAAAACTAGAAAAAGTTGTAACCACAAATGTCAGGAAAATGCTGTAAGAAAATAGTTGTTTTTGAAAGAAAAAAATAAAGATGCAAAATTTAACTGGAAAAACAATTGCGTGTGGGCTTTTTTAAATTGTATTTTTCATTTACCAGTTCAAGATAATGATCATTCCATAGATATAATAGTAACCTTTAAGCTATACCGTCTCAGTGACAGAGATGAAAACACAAGGAGAAACAAGCAAGCACGCAAATTATTGCACTTATTTTAATTAATCGAGTGATTAGAATTTATTGTGCGATTAATTGATAATTGTGACAGGCCTTCTCAAGACTTGAGACTTGACTTGGACTTGCAAAAAATGACTAACATGTCTGCAAAGCCCTGACCAGAATCCTCACAACACAGGGCGGCCATTGCCATGTAAGTGGCAGAGTTCAGTTAGCAGGATGTGTAGACCT